CCCAAAAAAACCAGTGACTATATTGGAAAAAGATCTCAGGCCTATTTCCCTGACAAAGATCTCACGCCTTTTTTGTGGTTCTTGTGTGGTCTAAGATTTAACATGCTGTATATTGCGATAATTTGCTAGCATGACCTTTATCAGTATTTATGCATGTGCACCGTGGGATATTGTCAGTGTGTCGCTAGTTATTTGACTTATGCATGGAGTGCAGATTGTACATTGAAACCTCACGTCTGAAAATTTCTTTTTAGTAAAATTATCATGAACTGTAATGAAATGATAAAACTTGCATACCGCTTGGTATTCTTCTTTTATCATACCATCACTTCGCTCACAAGATTTATCAAATGGAATGAATTATTCTTGGTTTTAAACATCTTAGTAAATATTAAAGTGTGCAGTATGCATAAAATTGAAAATAAAGGATTATAATTCAAGGACAAAACTTATATGACGATTTGCTTGCTCCTCAACAACTTCCCCACTTGCACTGGCAATGGTCTGGCAATGGATAAAGTTAATCATATCATGTAGTGCAATATTGTGGTACTACATGTAGGTCGTACAAGGCTCATCGTCCCAGGAATTGGTTGTTTGATAGCTGCTGGGTTGGCTTAACCTAGGGGACCGTTCATTTTTTATCAAGAGGGGGGGGCTGGTGGTTTTTGCAGGGGGGCCACCAGAAAAAATAGTAATGTGAAAGGGGGGTCACCTCTGGAAAATTAAATTTTGAGGGGGGGCCACCAAAACATTAATGAATACAATTATATAAAAATCCTGTCAAATTCAGATAATTCTGTCAAAACCTCTGCCAAAGTCCACGAAATGGCATTTCAGAGACCCTAAATTTAAAAATTTCCTCGGGCCTTCGGCCCTCGCCACCCCCTTATAAAAAAAGAACTTCCTACAGAACTGCACGCTTCTGTAATATGTCTGTGCGTAAAATATGAGTATTTTTGTTTGTAAATTGCGTTTTCATTTTCCAGATAGCAAACACCTTCGTGGCTTCGTATGCCATGAAATATTCGGAAATTTCTTTCGTCATTCGGAAATTTTTGGCCTACAATCCCCCTCCTCCACTATGCATGCTTAGCTACAGCCCTGGTGATAACATTCAGTCATTTGGCAGTTGAAAAGTGAAGCCTTGCACACAGAATAGGAAGTTATACCAGAAGCGTAACTCGAGCAAATATTTGTCCGCGTTTTTACAAGCGATTTGTCATCAATCACGCCATTCTGGCTAGTACAACCGGCACTTTGTACCTACCAAATCCTGATAAAAACTTCCGGCTGTACTAGCCAGGATGGCGTGGCCTGACGTGAGCGAGTTAAAATTTTCGTGGACGTCAAACAATAAGGGAAACGACTAGAGTTACGCTTCTGGTATAACTTCCTATTCTGTGCCTTGCATGAGCAATGCGCGTGTGAGCAGTGGCGTCAGCTCTCCACGCCAAATAGTACATCATGAGTTTCAGTCCCTTTTACGTCATCATCGTGCCATGTGGCGTTGCATAGCATTGGTTTCATGTTTCTCTCCCTGCATGTTATCGTTCCAGATAAAAGACATGGAGAGGTCTGATGCCACTGCTCACGCCTGGCACAGAGTAAGTACATACAGAGGTCTCACTTCAGGTTAATTTAGCGTAAGGGATTTTTTTGAAAAATGCGCCATGTTCTTAGGCAGTCCAGTAAAGAGAAGCGGTACTGGACTGCCTAAGAACATGGCGCATCATACGTATATACTGCGCATGTGCGGATACTGGCTAAGAACATGGCGGCCAAAAAAACCGCCTTCCTTACGGTTTTCTCACTGAGATAAGCCTCTGTATGTTACTCTGTGCACGAGGGTTCACTTTTTAACTGCCAAATGACTGAGTGTTATCATTCTAGATAAAATAAATTGAGTTCACTGGAAAATTGCTCCGAGCAAATTGTAATCAAAACACACAAGTTGCAACAGTCATTCTCTCAAGTTCCTATCACACCCGTGTTGAGTCAAGACACTGAATAAAAAAATCAAAATGACTAATATCTATGTACAATTCCTATTAAATGCCATGGTCTCTAATATTACTTTTGCAACATTTCGGGCAGTTACAATTACTAAAATAATTGCTAAAATAATTGTAGGCATTATTGTATTTATTTAGCCTAAAACGTTGCAAAAGTAACATTAGGAACCTATGTATGTGGGGGAGGGGGGTCATGGGAAGAAAACGTGGAGTAGAAAGGGGGCCACTGAAAATTTTCCTGCATCTGCTGGGGGGTCATGACGAAATTATCAATGCAAGCATGCAAAACCACCAGCCCCCCCCTCCTGATAAAAAATGAACGGTCCCTAGGTTAAATCTCTTTTTCCAACAGCTCGTTTATAAATTCAGAAATTTCTCTTCCCATCTACTTGTGTAAAATAATAACTGAAATACTGGAAATTTATGAGTAAATTTACTGCTTTTTGCAATACTGTATGTAAAGTAAGTCATCTCAAAACATTGAGTAAGTGCAATATTTTACTCAAGTTGTGAGCTAAAATTTTTTTGTATGGTGGAGGTTTTATAGAAGTTTTCCCAGGCTTAGCCAAGGCTCGTAGTGTAAACACGGCTTTAGTAAATAAGATTCCATGATCATAGTCTTAATTGTCTTACTCCATTATATATGCTCCATGCATGCATGCACGCATGCATTCATTCCTAATTCATCAAATATTTTTCTCCGTGCTTTTCCAAACTATTGCTAGTCGTCTTCTCTTCCGCTTTTTTCGTCCTCTCTTCTCTCCTCATTGCTTCCATTAATTTGCATTTTTCTGTAGTATTCCTTTCTCGCTTTCCGAATATACTGTATAACCAACCATGTCCGTCTTTCTCTCTCCGGTATCTTATCGCATTTACGAACATGAAAATGTAATATCTTTCCACTTTTATTATTTCTTCATAGATGCAAAGAAAATTTGTTTTTCGAAGTATGGATGCTTTTCAATCAATAAATATTTCCAAGTCAAACATGCTGCACTACCGTCCCATCCAAATGTCATTCAAACTAAATTCTTCCTTCATACCAGAAGAAATCCAAAAAGTGCTGAAGAATTGAACATAAATAATATCAGTTCAATCACGACGTCCAATTTTGATCCATCTCGCCAAACAATTTTGATTGTCCACGGCTTTGCTCATCATTCCCAGAAACCCTGGGTGATTAAGATGAAGAATGAATTGTTAATGAGATGTTGGTATAATGTGATCAGTGTGGATTGGAGAAAAGGAGCGTCATATCTTACCATGTTTTATCTAAAAGTAAGTGGCTATTAGGTTACTTGTTTTGTATAATTCTTATCAGTTCTTCTTAAATTTAATTGCATCCCCTCCAAAGGTCCATCTCTATATCCGATTATTGGTCTCATTTAATCAAAGAGGAACTAAACAATCCAAATAACGTTTTTCACATGCAACCGAGGGCTTGCAAAAAGTGCAAAAAAAAGAGAATTTTGGCTGAATTAAGGGATCGTGCTAATTAACCTCCTAGGGAACTGCTATGTATTAAGCAGTACGTGTTCGTCCGCACCATGCCTTAAGAGATATGTGTTGCCATAAACTATAATATAATACTTCGTCTCGCCTGACCGGAATATTGTTTTCATCGGAGTTTACTTGGCAATTATTTGGCCAGAGAGATTTCCTAGAAATACGGGTATAACATAAACTAGAAAATACATGCATACAGAAACCCTCGCCTTGCTGACAAAACCATTATATTTTCCGAACATGAAGTAGCTGTCATGGTGACACGATAATTTTATTAAGAAAATTTTAAAATTGAAAAATATCACTTTTAATTACAAAAATATCTATATTTCCCAAACGTATATATGTTATAGGTATGTTTTTTACTTATTATACGTTATTGTACGTACTATAAGCTTCAATTTAATGTAAAATTCAACCACAAATTCTTCGCAAAACGTTTTAAAATGTTCTTAAAACTAAACTTCCTTTTATCGATAAACTTTGAGTTTGAAATAAGATTATTTCAATTCTCGCATGCATGTAACTTTGCTTTCCTCTTTTTTAAAAATTTTAATGTCATAAAAAAGGGTAATCAATAAATATACAGTACACTGAAATTATATGCGCAACGCAATTATACGCAACAACCAGTTTTTGTCGTCTTTGGCTTTGCTCCATTTCTTTCGGCTTTTTTTCTCGCAAAGCTTTTGAAATTTACAATATCTTGCAAAAATGAAAAATAAATATATTTGCAACCTAAGAAATGTTTATTATTTCGCTGTCGTCCTGCAGGGTGAGCACTTGTTTCCATCTACCAAACTGACGTGGCGTCATTTTAATAAGAAGGAAGAGATATTCACTGGCTATGTAACTAACCCTACCCCTACTCTAAACAATCATTGTTCGCTATTCATGACAGTCCGTCATATTTTTGAGATCAGTGAGGCTATAATTCGATAATGCTTTCCTTTCCCCCGTGGATAAATAGCCTTGCGGAATTAGTACTCTCACCCCAAGCTTACGCCCGGAACTGACTCGGGGACAATGCCAGACAAACGTCCCGTCCCGCCGGTATAAGAGACCTTAATCATGTACGACGCAGCGACGCTATGACAAAAGCCAAACCAAACTATTACATATAAATTAGTGTGAATCGTAATTAATAGAGTTTGAGGAGATTAAAACAAAGGCTTAATTTATGGTTGAAAACATTTCTATACTGGGCCAATTGTTGTCGCGAGTTGAAATGTCTGGTTGTACAAGAAGCGTGAAAAAAGCGCTTGGGCCTTTCCTTTTCTTATTTGCATGACCACCTGGATCACAGTTAATAGACTGAGATGGTTAGGAGAGCCGGCAAACTTCAAAGCAAAATCGCAGCGGGCGGCATTTATGTCGAGGCACAAAGGAAATAAATATCACGTGCACAGGAAAGGGGACACGCTTCAAAGATTTATATAAGATCGTATTACAGTTTTGCTGATTTCTCAAATATATCTAAACGTTTCTTAATCCTGGAGCCGAAATCGCCGTTTTAGGATAGTTTTATGTGAGTAAGACGATGGAGAAAAGTTTGGAGGCGATTGAATCTATCCCTGAGCGTGTAGAGGCAGAAATCGAAGGAAATAGGAGCGTACCCGAGGAGTTGCCATTTGTTGACGAAGGGGACGATGAAGAATCTAGCTTGCCTTTTCATTTTGAAATCACCATGGCCGTTATGGACGAAGACGAGGAGGCCGTTGAAAACGTTTTTGTTGAAGCTGCTACGGAGATAGTGGGCGAAAAAATGTTTCCATGCGAAAAGATTTGTAAATCGAAAGCTGGCCTAACGAGGCATGTAAACGCAAAGCATGGCAGCAAAGCCACAGCAAATGCAAACATTCCTTCGCTTAAGAAAGATGAACTTACGTCTATCGTGAATAAAGTAAAAGCAAAGATAACAAAGGAGGGTTATTGGGACACAGGAATAACTTCGGCTTTGGTAAAAGTAACTTCGAACGATAACCTTTACGAAGCTGTCTCGCCAGTTTATCAACGATTTTGTAAGAAACGAAATCAAGATAATTTTCTCATCGAATTTTATGAACTTATTCCCAAGTCATCTGCCCTCCTGAAATGCAAAAACCAGCCACTTTGTAGCCTGGTTATGGTAAGCATATCTGATCACCTAGTATAGCTTTGTTCAAGTCCACCAGTGGAAAGCAGAAGTCTGGCACTTCAAGTGAAAGCACAGAGCATGTAACAGAACTAAGCGAACATGAACGTGGACCCTTATCATATATTGCTGGCTACGTATTGGCGAAATTACAAAAACAGTGCTACATTACAGAGCATGAAACGTCCCAGTGTTGAGAACACATATATTGACACACGAAGTAGAGGTGGACTAGTGACACCATGTAGTGATCTAGTGCAAATCTTGGAGGTTGTGGAAATAGTATTTAGACAGTTTATTGCCCAGCAAACATCAGTGGTTAGTACTATTCCATGTGATACATTATGTAATGAAGCACTGGAGTCACCATTGCTTAAGTCACTGTGGGAAAACATTTTGCATGGATGCAAGGATTTGCCGAAACAAACTACCAAGCTTTGTCTTGAAAATATTATTAAACTTTATATAAAGGTTTGCAGTTTTTCCTATGCTAGAGACTACATCAGCAAATTTAAAATTAAACAAAAAGCAGCAAAGAGCAAAGGGAGGGATTGCAGAATACCCGTCCACTTTTGATAGCTTGTTAAAACAAATAAATAAATTAAAAAATTATTTCAAAACAGTTCACAATTAAAATTTAAAGATAAAACTCCAAGAATATGTTGCTCGTGATTAAATTCATTGCGAGTCTTTGAAGAACGAAGCATTTGAAATTGGCATACTTTCCTCATTTCGCCATGTTTACAAGGAAATAACAGGTGTAATATGTCCAAGTGGACGAGTATTCTGCAATTTAGCTGTCCCGGAGCCTGTAAATACAAATCTTGCTCCTTCAAGGCATTTCTTTTTCTCACATGTACTTTGCTAGTAATTGTTCACATCTTTAGCTTACGTACTAGGTAATGTAATAAAATGTTCCATTAAGACATGATTTTGTTCAATCATCTTTACCCTTTATATCAACAACAAAAATATATACTATTTAATATACAACTATACACTATATATGTTAATAAATGAGCCTTTTTCATGTAAGGCATGACAACAAATGAGGGGTATAAATCGTATAATAGTATCTACCAAATGTACAATCATCAGGAGTTGTACAGGAGTTGTACTTGAGCATGCAGTAATAACAAGAATCAGCTTTTATCTATTGAGGCCCTGTTAGGGGGTTTCTAAATCAACCATAATCCAACGTAAATATTAAAAATAATCAGTATTCTATTTTCGTAAACCAAAATATCCCTAAAATAAAATAGAACAAAGACATGTACTTCTATCACTCTGAGGCTTATATTGTGTTTTGTGACATATGTGTTCTCTATCTTTCACTATTTTGGTTATTTTAATTGACGAGACCATGATAATCAATATCTTTTATAATTCGGTTTCGTCTCCGTCGCCTCGAGCAAGAAAAGGTATTTTAAACAGCGAAAGATTACTCCTTCGACTTGTTCCACAGCCATACAAAGCGCAGTTGGCACCTGGCATTGCATGCCAGAGGTAAAAAATGTAAAATTCCCAAATTCAGAGAGATTTTGTTAAGACTTTTCGAAAAGAAGCTAGTCGCCGCAATACAATACTCTATTGTGTTTTGTCGCCATGTGTACTCTGCCGATCACGTGACGCAAATAACTGGAAACCGAACATAATTAGTAAACCCCGCCCACAGAGGAGGTTGGACAGCAGGCCGCAAAGCATCATGGGTATTGAGCGCCTAATTCCACGCGTGGCTTTCATTGACTGTTGACTGTCGAGGAGTGAACATCTCTCTGACTACAAAACAATATGGAAGCTTTCGAACGACAAGAATGTCAGGCTGCGATATTTTGTGAAAACAGCATGTTATTGCTGTATTGTTGCGATCATCATTATGACTTGTGTTTTACTATATCAAGTTTACCTTTTTTTAAATTGCATGGGACGTGTTGTCATTTTAGCTTTACAAATAATCCGTCTGAGAAAAGGAATTGTGTTTAATTTATATTCCCAATAGCGAGGCTCTTCTTTCTAAGTTGGATGGCGTTAAATCTCTGTGTATCATCAATGTGAAAACAAGCGCAGTATTTAAGGTTGGTATACTACAATGCATTACAGTTATCGTGTTATTTTATAGTTAAATTTCCGCTTTGTTGTTTTTATTCTTGTACTTTTAATATAAATACACTGTACAAAATTATGGCGTCATACTTGTGTTTACAATGCCTCTAGTTTGACCCTATAGTGTGTGTATATGTACTGTGTCACTGTGATACATATGTACATGTTTTGAGTTAAACGAATTGTTTAATACATTTTTGCTGAAGTATGATGCCTGTTTGTATGGATAGTTTTTTACATATATGTGCATACAGTATAGTATATTTTTCAATTTTCATCTGTAAAATAATATTTGTGTGTTGTTCTAATATTACTGTAAATAGTGACACACTTTTGCATTAGATTGCTAATTTTAGAGATTACAGTGTATGTATAAAATAATAAAAAAAAAATTTTCTTGTTATGATTTTGTAGAAAGAGATCTACTTGAGTGGTTCAGTGGTTGGCTGGCCTTGAACCTGGTCAGCATGGATATGGTAATGAAGGTGATAGGGCAGAAAGTGGTGACCAGTTAAGTGATCAGGATGAAAGTGACGAGGACAAAATCACCCATGCTGTGCCATTCAAGTGCATTGGTGCTGTTCATGAGAAACATTACCAAGATAATTTGTAACAGGCATGCCTTGCAATTCATGGACAAGATAAACCAGTGAATGTAAGAATACGTCCAAAGCTATTGAATCCAATGGACCCAAGTGCAATAGCAATTGATGTAGACTATGGAACTGGATGGACACATGTGATGTTGGCTATATTATTTGCACCCACTAATTGCTGCATGAGATTTCTTAGAGGTCTATGTTCAGCATATAAAGTATAGGGTTGACTTTTTTAAAATAGGATTTTATCCAAAATTTTTCATAAAGGGATGTGGTGAGTGGGAGACTCAAGTGGTAAGGAGGGGCATGAGTGTATGTCGACAGATGTTTGTGATATAATAGTAACTGACTAGGTTTAGCAAGTTATAGAAATGATGTTATTTAAATTGGCTAACTTTTTAGATTTTTTCAGCATTTTTACCTTTCACTTTATTGCCAAACAAAAATGAAAAATCATTTAATTTAAGTAGGTGTGTATCTATAAGAAAACAATATCTGTCATGTGCACTTGTGCAACTCCCTCAAAATAACAATATTGCTTTTTTATTGTGTAGGACACCAATATGGTTCTCATTACCTATATCTAAACTTAAAAAAACATGTGCTATAAATAAATGCATCTACCTATTTCGTGACTGAATAGAATTTATTTTGTCAAGCCATGTAATTAATTTTGAAATTGCTGTGACTTTATGTAACCCTTCTGCAGGAATTGAGCCTAAACCCTAAAGCATCAACCCCTAAAGCACCAACCCATCCCCAACAATAAAATTACATCTTACTGTCAATTTGTCTTTGAAATCTGACCACCAATGTTTATTTGTAAGTTCGGAATGTATGTTGTAAAGTTCGACTGCAGTTTGTTTTAAAGTTGGTTCTGTGAAAATCGGGCTGAGTTGAATTTAAATGGTTCTTATTTCCAGTCAAAATATGGGTCTCTATTTACTTGTTTCTATATACACCTGTTGACTCTGGATGATCTTCAGAATTATCAAATAATGTACCTGCATTATAAATGCTTCCTCCTTTAACTTAATAGACTAAGTGTTCATGCATACTAAAAAACCAAACATGGTGAATTATACTACAGGTATATACAATAACTGTACCAGCCAGGGTGTTAAACCTGGCTTGTCCAAAAAATACTGTGGGTGATGTGTGGCAACTTACATGGTGCTTGAAATGAATTGTCACATACTGACAATTCAGCATCTTTTCAACAAAAATTATCGAAACATATGAAGTAGATAATGTAAACAGCAGCTGACAACTTTTGAGGTATTCAAGAAATATCACAAAGCTTGCAAGTTGCTGTTTAATAAAGAAAACAATTTCTTAGGTCATCCATGGCCATCTAGTTAAAAAGTGGCTGATGTCTAATTTCAAGAGTGGCTGGTGCAAAATGTACACTACTATAACAAACATAATTTAATTTGTTATTAATGTCAATAAATTTGAACAAATATACTCAAGCATTAATTAAATATGATACAGTACATGTATGCAGGGATGGATCCAGCATGATCTGGTAGGGGGGGGGGGGGCTCTGGTGCCGACTGCCGAATTGTGTCGGTCATGTGTGCCGCCCACCCATCAACTGCTGTATTTGAATTGTAATTGTTGTTAAAAGTTCACTTATCATCATGTTATTACTCAAATTA